CCATTCCCCCCCAAGGCTCGGATCCTGACCCAACTGTACAGCGCCTTGGGATATCCTCCCAACGTGAAAGGCGCTCTATAAATGGAATCTTGTTGTTGTTGTTGTTGTTCGCCGGATACATTGTAAAGTGAATTGACTGTATATTTTGTGGACGAAACGCCTGCAATTCTAAAGGAATCTGAGCCCAAACGACAATTCAACCATGGTGTACTTCACATGGGATGAATGTCTTAACCAGCAATGGACTGTTTGTATGGCCGGCTACATTTCCCGAGTAACCCTCATGGTCCATCAGACATACATATATCAATTGCAAGGATTATTATTATCAGGTTGAATGGCAATAGGCCCTTTATAATACTCTACACTGCAAGTCTGTTCTGCTTTCTTGTGGAAAGCAACGTTTTCGTCTAATAAGCAGAAGCAGTTCGAAGCATTATTCTTTAGGCTTTTGGGAAATTGCTCAATCTATTTTTCACTGTTAGACATTAACACTGAAGTGGGAAAAGCAATGCCATCTTGGGTTGAGCACATGACCAGCCTGCTCGCTCATGAATTAATATAGAAGTTAAAAAAGCTTTTGATCGTTTCCTCTCTAATTCTGCTTGGGTGTGCAAAAGAAATGGGGAAAACAACTTGTTATTGTGACCTATTGACAGCTTCAGAAACTTGTTTATGTGCTGGATTGTGGAAAGTTTGATGTTGTGAATTCCATGACCGCCACTGCCTCACCCCTCAGGTGGCCAAAACCCTCACCCATGTGCATTCGTCACATCAAGACTCGATTCTGGGAATTCCTTCCTCATAGGCCTTCCCAACTCTTCCCTTCACAAGCTGCAGATCATCCAAAACTCTACAGTTTGTGTACTCTCGCGCACCAGGCTCCGTGACCCCATCACTCCCACCCTCGCCCGACTCCACTGGCTCCCCATCCCTCAGAGGATGAAATTCAAGCTCGGGCCCCGACACCTGACTGCTCAGCGCTTTGGGACCAATAAATTGGGACCTGGATCAATAAATTCAGGGAGATAACATGGAGAGGCAGGATTGTAAGATTGAAGGTTTTTTTATATAGAATGTTTGTTTGTTTTGTTTGTTGTATCCTAACACGTGCGGAAACTCATCACCATTGCTTAAGAGGATCCAAACCAAGCTGGGAATTCCACGCGTCCCACCTACACATGGAAATCCCCAGAGATAGATTGTTGGAATGGAATGCACTCTCTCTCTCTTTCTCTCTTTCCCTGGAGGGATGCTTCCAGCTTACCTAATTCCAGAAAGTATTAGGTGCAGGTTGGCAAGAGCCAAGGCTTGGGGGACCCCACAGTGTGTTGCTGGAGCTATACAGAACGTTACAATACACAAACACATCAAACTTTTGCCTCAAATACATTGATGATTTTTGCTTCAACGACAGCTTCCAAGGGACAAGTTCCACCATCTCAATACCCTTAACAAAGAACATCACTCTGATATTTTACCCTTATTGCTTATGCCATTTCAATTCTAATCCATACTAGACTCTATATACTGTATATATAATCCTTCCATTTGATATAGTGCCTTATCAGGTCTTTGAGATGTCTCAAAGCGCTTCACAGGATACACTGTAAAGGAAATTGTCTGTATGTTTTGGCCGAAAGATTCTGGTAAAATATGGAAGGCCCGTTAAATTAAGTGCCCATGTAACGAACGGTGATAAACTTCAGAGGATGGGTTTGTGGACCTGTGCGCCTGAAAAAATGGCTATTAATATTATTTCTTTAACCTCTGCAGAATGACAGGAAATATTGAATGTAAATGTAAACCCAAGATAATAATTGAAAAAGCTGTCCGTTTCTGGCAAGCGGAGATATGAGCGTGTGAGTGTGTGGTGTGAGTGTGCAACTGTGAGTGTTGTGCGATTGCTTCTAGCTGAGGGAAGAAGCTATCGCCATGGCCTGGGCCATCGACAATTGCTGCTTTAAATAATGCATACGACAAACGCAAGTTGCTCTGTGCTGAGATAGCTGATCTCAGACTCACAGCAGAAACTGGGCTGCCACGATATGCTATCGGGTGAGAGCAGGTTTGGCCTTGGCTGATACAACAACAACAACAACAAGATTCCATTTATAAAGCGCCTTTCACGTCAGGAGGACGTCCCAAGGCGCTGCACAGTTGGGTCATGACCCGAGCATTGGGGGGAAATGGTCAGGGGAGGGGAGGGAGCGAGGGGGGGGAAATGGTCAGGGTGAGGGGAGGGATGGGAGGGAGCGAGAAGGGGGAAGAGAGTCGAGAGGGGAGCTGAAGGCTCGGTCAAAGAGAAAGGTTTTGAGACCGGCCTTGAAGGAGGAGAGGGAGGAAGCGGCGAAGGCACTGGGGGATGGAGAAGGTGATCAGTCTTGTCTCGTGCCTGAACTGCTGGGATTAAGGTTACACAGCTTCACTGGAGGAGCAAACACCCACACTATTCCAATGGGTCAAATGGTCTCCTGCTGTGTTGTCATTTGCTATAGTTCTCACATTGAAATATTTTCAAGTACAAATTGCTAAAAAAACAGATACAAGTTCTTTCCTTTTTTCTCTCTTTCTCTCTCCCTCTCTCTGCTTCCGATGACTCTGCACCTAATCGATGAGTCAGTGTATTCAAGAGATGAGAGGGAGAAAATGAGGGAAAGGTCTTCCCATAACAAGGAGGTTTTGATCATTTTCTAATTAAGGAAAATCTCCTGAAAAATAAATGATTTTTCATTTAGTGGCCTAAAAATAAGCGATTTTAGGCCACTGTTATTTCACACTGACTCAGAGACTGTACCCTCAAACCAAACCACAACTTCCAACATCAGATATCAAACTGTAAAGAGCTGTTTGGTGAATCACTCTCTGGATTTGGTCTCCCAATCCACTGCAAATGTGATGCCATCTGCTCAAAATGCTGTCCAGACCAAATTGAACCGGTTGTCAGATGGAGTGAACTGACTGATAAGAACATAGGAAATGCTAGATGAAAAAAAGACCAAGGTCCATCTAGTTTGCCTTCCACCTTTCTGGCAGTCACACGCACATATGTCCCGAACTACCAATATACTATATGCCATAACGTTATTTAACATTTTCCTAGTCATGTATGCAGCTCCTGACTTGAAAAGGTTTCCATTGTTGATCTGAGTCCATTGAATGTATAGAGATGTACAGTACTATACAGGGAAGAGATTGCTATCATCATAATAATAATCCTTGCATTTGATATAATGCTTTCCAAGTCTTCTAGACGTCTCAAAACGCTTCACAGGATATACTATAAAGTGAATTGACTGTATATTTGTGGGCCTAACACGGCAGCCAATTGCGCACAGCAGTGCCCCACAAATAGTCGTGGATTGAAGTGACCAATTTTATTATTATTTTTTTCTTGACGGATTATTATCAGGCGCGTGGAGTAAGCAAACTTGCCCAACATTTCACCCTGGCCGGGAATCAAACCCAAGTCTCTAGCTTGCAAGGCAAGTGCTCTAACCACTGAGCTACAGGCCTCCACAGTCACTGAGCCACGTACTAAGTCTCTTAGCACTTTAGAATATGGTGTGCAACAAGTTGATAAATGCTGTGGTTTCATTCGGAAACCCCAAAATGTGAAAAGAAGAGAAAGTGAGATTACTTATTATATAATAGTTCCCACCAATGTTGGGTTTCAAAAGCAAACTATTCTGTGAATAGTTGAGACTTGCAGTTAGAAAGGTCTCAGTTGAATCTCCAATGCACTGCTTTGGAGTGTCAGACTGGACTGTGAGCTCAAAGTCTTGACTTGTGGCTTAAACCCCCAAAACGTATGACTCAGAGGTGAGAGTTGCTACCCACTTAAGCTAGGCTGACATCTTAGCTGAGCTAAGACCTACGAGCTTTAAGGATAAGCGAAGGAAAAAGAGTAGAGTATGTGACTGTAGATCACGGATGAAGGAAAATAAGTCTTCCAAACAAACATTTTCTTGTTAAGGGCTCAACTACCAATGAAAAGAAAATCAAGAACATTGCGATCACTATGAAGAACAGGACGTGCATTCTGCTTTGAAACCAATGTTTATGAAGGTCACAAAACCACACCAGGTTATGTCTCATAGGAATATTATTATGCAGTTTTATGTACTTTACATCCCACCCATCACCCAAGTTATAGCAGCTTTAAAAAGTAGCCAATGACTCAACCCAAAATGAAAGTGTTCTGAAGTCAGCAGACAACTGTCCTGGAGGTCTGTGGCTCAGACATGATGTACTCGTCTGTTAGTCTTGCTCTATTTGGATGCTGAATATCTATCTAGACTGCACTATCTACAATGTGGACAAGGACAGTAACTAAATGGGATTGAAAGCCAATCCAGAACAATACGTTCAGGTGTTGCCGGGCAGCAGGAGACCAATTCAGGGTCATGAAGGGCAACTTCAGGATACAGCCCAGCAAGTCTTTTGTTACACAGATGGTAATTAATGACTGGAACTGGAAGAGTGGTTGAGGCCAGGACGTTAGACTCATTTAAGACACAGTTTAACAGCGCACTAAAGCTTTGGAACTCTCTCCCCCAATCCCTCCATCTCACCCCACTCCTTCCCATCTTTTAGATCTGACTGAAGACCTTCCTCTTCGACCGTGCTTAAGGTCAACTCCTGCCTCACCCCCAGCTTGCCATCATACGCTGCCTCTGTCAAGCACCTCAAGGCGCTGCGCAGTGTGAAGGGCGATGTATAAATGCAAATTATTGTTGTAATGGGAAGGCCTGTTATTCTGGAAGGATGAGATCAAATGACCCAAAGGGCCTTCTATATCTGAACCTCTTCTGTGATCTTGTGCATTGAATGCATCTCTGAGGGCATCTGAGAGGAGCCTGAGGAAGGGAAACACCTTCTACACCTTGTTCCTTGAACGTTCACACGTTATCTCACAGCTGAATTTCACACACCCATTTCACTCCTAGATTTGCACATCTGTAAGCTATTTCCAAACACTGCTATAAGAACAATACGCATTTTTTTTTCCAGAAATGATTGTATTTATTTCTTTTCAAATTGAACATATGAGTCCGTGATAAAGCGGTTATATAATGTTCACAGCTGCGCATGTCACGGCATTTTAGCAGTGATTTGCCCGTTCCCTGCCCTGTTTACATCCAATTACACATAGACTTGCACACTTGCAGGAAATAAATCTTAGGCTTAATTTAAAAAAGTGCAGGTTCCAGAAGGAGCAAGTTACTTTGTGTGCGCGAGTAGGGCAAGTTAAACACACTGTTCGAAGCACATTCAATTTTTGCATCAAAATATTTTTTAAAAAAATCTAATTGTTCTCACTTTAGAAGGATATTAAAATACAGCAAATTACTTTTCCAAAAAAAAAACAATTCATCCCGCGGCAAAGATAAGTATTGAATCCTAGTTTAGCCAATATATTTGGAACTTTTATTTCACGCGATTAAGTGACTTGTCTTCACGAAACAAAACAGTGCAATTCAGTGCTTTAACTCCTTGCTAGGCACACTTCATCCATGGCTTGAAAGATCCTGCAAAGGAACCACAGTAATGTAATCAGTTCACATACATGGCTGTAATACAAGTGCTCCCAGACCCTACCCCCGTGTGAAGGGCGCTATATAAATGCAAGTTGCTTTTGTTTCTGTAACGTACAGAAAGCTCTATATACTGGAACTGGCCATCATTCAAATAAGACTTGTGTTCACTTTCATAAAAGTCTGTGAAACTCTCTGTCAAAGATTATCGGAAGCAATGTTTTTCAAAGGGGGGGGGGGTTGGAAATGGGTAAATATTGCCTGCAAAGAAACAAACTGTGAGAGTTTCAACATGACGAGCCACTGTATGAAATGTTTATTATTAATAAATGGAATGAAGGGGGAACCCGGTCATTCAGGGAAATGACTGCTTTGTGCACAACACCGAAACGTGACTAATTTCACTCAAAACACAAGAAAGACTTACTATGACTGGTGGCTTGGTACAAGTGACATCTCTATTCAGTGGTGCTACGGTGAGAGAGGCTTAAAACCATAGACTTGCACGTACTGGATGAGCTATTTCCACCTCAGGTTTTGTTGGCGGTGGATGTAAAAAGAAACCCAAACTCCCACCCTACTTTGTCCCCTCCCGGTCCCACGTATTTGTTGTGCACCTTCTTGTGTTCTCCTTAGAGCAGAGAAGGTTAAGGGGAGATTTAATCAAAGGTGTTCAAAACAATGAGGAGTTTTGATAAAGCGCTCTGAGACATCCTTCCTTAAGAAAGGAGCAATATACATGTAAATTGTGATTGAATCGCTCTGGCAGACATTACCTGTCCATGGGGAACTCTATTTCACAAAGGTTGACCAGAATGTAGAGTTGTCGCAGTGCATATTCGTACTTTGGTTTGAAAAAAAANTAGAAATTGATTTAGAAAATTTAACAAGAAGTGCATTGGCAGTTTCATTAACTCAACAGCTTTAATTCCCACCACAGGCTGGAGCAGACGGACAGGTTCGAAGAGGCGTTCGCTATAGAAGACTTCAATTTTGAACTCAGGTATCTGAAAACTTTCAGTGCAAATGCAATTGGATAAACTCTGGAGTAACATCTCATGTCAAAGATTGGGAGGGAAGAAATTTGTGTTATGTAATATGGGACAACGCTGCAAATTCCCCCTTGGTCATATTCAACAAAATATAGTTGATTTGCTGTTTTGTTTTGTCTTTTTAAAAAAACATGTAAGTACCAGAGGCGAGATTGCATATCAATACCAGTCTTGTTTAGTTCTTGTGAAAGTTGTTCACGTCAAGGCTGTTTGTGAGACACCACTGTAAGAATATTGGCCGTTTTGTTTGCATATAACGCACAGTCACGACACTTTACAGTCTACCCTTCACCTGCAAAATACACACAGTCACACCATTTTACGGGACATCATGTGAAGTGCTTTGAGGCACCTCGACGATGTGACAAGTTGTTACACCAAATGCAAAGAATATAATAATAACCCTTTCATTTGATACAGCGCCTTATCACATCTTCGAAACGTCTCGTGCGCTTCACAGAATACACTGTAAAATGAATTGACTGTGTATTTTGTGGGCGAAACGCAGCAGCCAATTACGCACGGCAGCGTCCCACAGAAAGTCGTGGATTGAGTGACCGACTTTTGTGTTTTTATATATATTGTTATATCATGTTATTATTACTATCCTGCGATGCACTTTGAGAAGTCCTCCTGACGCAAAAGGCGCAAGGGTTTATTGCTATTCATCTAAAAGTGGATTTTAACGTGGCTCCAAACTCTGGAACGCTCTCCCTCAATCCCTCCGCTTTGCCCCCTCTCTCCCCTTTTTCAAGTCACGCCTGAAAACCTCTTACAGCCGCCTCTCACCCATCCCCTCACACCCCCACCCCCACCCCCGCACCGGCTCAGAGTCAGGCTCTGACATCGTTAAGCGCTCTGAAAGGCTACCCTGCTTGACGGGCGCTATGTAAGTGCAAGTTGTTCTCGTTGTCGTTACCAAGGGTGAGTGCCAGTTGAAACAGCGGGTTTTGAAGTGATAGTTTGCAGCCTGGTAACAGCCGTGAGCTCGAATTCGATTGCGGGAGTTCAGAATGTGGGACGTCCACTGCTCTGAATTGGTGAGCTTGTTCACAATCTTCTTCATCGACTCCTCAATTAAGTGTTTGGCCTGCAAACAGAACACAATCCCAAACTGGTTACGTGCAAAGGTATCATACACCCAGGATGTCAAAAGAACATGTGTGTGATTGACTGAGGATTTGTCATCCACTGCTTTACTCCGGGCTGACTATTCCGTTGGGACTTTATTCTATTCGCTGCATAGGACACGGATCGCACACTTGCTGCACACGACAGCTCACCTGCAGATGTGCGTTGATCTCATTCAGGAGCTTGTCACTTTTCTCAATGCTGTTTGTCGACATCAGCTTCTGTTTCAGAATGGAAAGAGTAGCATCTGGGCTCGGAACAGCGTCCACAATGTTTAGCGGAGCTTGTGGTGTGAGGGGATGGTGTTTTCTTTTGCCCTGAAACCTCATCACTTTCATGTGGGAGATTGTCTGCAGGAGATGGAGCGGGATGGGGGAGCGGAGGGTGCAAGGGATGGGGGTGGGGGGGGGTCGGGGGCGTTGGGGGGGTTAGGGGAGAGGGTGGGGGAAGAAAGAGAGGGGAAAAACTCCATGAGCAAATTGCTTACAAATAATATTCCAAACACAAATAATAAGAACAACAAACAACGTCTCTATGAGCTGATGTGTGCGTCACAACACTTTCAATGGCTCAGTCAGGACATTTTGTGGCCTGCATTTCTTACGCTCAAACACAGGGATCATCCCAGGTTATGGCCATCTCTCCCCCACCCACCCCCCACTCCCACGGCTAGGTATTCATCAACAAAATACAAATCACTACATGTTAAGGTAAGTTCTGTGAAGAATCTTGAGATGTCCTCCCGATGTGAAAGGCGCTATGCCAAATGCAAGGACTATCACTAATATTATTATTGCTTTCCTCTCCATCTGACAGTTAATAGAATTAAAGAACAGATTGATGGAAATGTGGGACGGTCTCCATTATCTCTTGTCCTCTGATGCTGCAATACACGCGATAACATACTCCCTGAAGCCTAGCTTACTAAACAGAGGCAACGTGACTCAATGCACAGTTAAATGCTCACCAGATTCCCGTACTCCTGTACGTGGCTTGTATTGGTGTGCTGCTTTACAATTCTGAATTGTTGATGTAGAGTCTCCTTGGCCAAGTCTTCCTGCAAAGCGAGAATGACAGGTTCTTCAATATCTTCAATATAATTATTAAATGCAAGGATTAATATCTTCATTCTCGTAGTGTATATAATGTATTCGATCCCATAGGGTACCAGCTCACACGCTCACCTCGCAAGCGAGAAGACCTGGGTTTGATTCCCGGGCAGGATGGAACCTTAGGCAAGGTTCTTTACTCCACACGCCTCTGTTTACCTAGTTAGGTTGTTAGTCGATTGGCGAATCGATTACCAGGTGCCAAAAAAAAATGGTCACTCAATTCCCGACTGTTTGTGGGACACTGCTGTGCGCAATCGGCAGCTGTGTTTTGCCTTAAAAATGTACAGTCAATTCACTTTACAGTATATTCTGTGAAGCGCTTTGAGGCGTCTCAACAGTGTGATAAGGCGCTATATCTTATGATGCAAAGATTATTATTATTATTATCGGACATTATTTTGAAGAATAAATATTCCCGTATACCTCATCAGAGTCCTCCATCCAAACAACACTGTACACATCGCCCAAATAGGTATCTCTCAGCTTATCGTAGTAACACGCATAGGACGATTCCTCTGGATTGGCAGCTGTAGTGGCAAATACTATAAGCAAAAAAAGAACAGCAATTCAATCAGTATCTATTTGAAACCAGTGAAACAGAGTGAAATCTACCTGTATTTATTCTGAATGCAACTCACACGCTATGAGCAACAATTAAGACAAGTTAAGGCTCTTCAATCTTGAAAGGAGAGGTGTCAGAGAGGACATTATTAGAGGTTTGTAAGATATTAAATGGAACTGAAACAAAGTAAACCCAGAACAATACTTTAAGGGATGCATCAACACAGTGCAACAAAAAAGGTTTAGACTTGCAAAATCTTGCAAAGTGCCTTGAGACGTCTCGACGACGTGATAAGGCTCTCTACCAAATGCAGCGTTATTATTTATTATTATAATACCAACACTGAGCAGCTAATTTAACACAAACATTTAGTTCTACAAGGGCTCTGTCCTACCGTTAATATTGTCCGGCAAGTCGACCATCATGGAGCCAGACTCGCAAGCCTCAATGTAAAACACCATCTGTGAACGCAAAGCATTTGCTAAGTCATTTAATCTCATCTGCACCACGCAGAGAATCTCCATAGAATGATCCTTAACATCCGAGACATCTGTCACTCTATTTATTAGTGTACAACATAGTAATTTAAAATCAGTACAAATTAACTTCAATATTGTGCCTTTCAGGTCAGGAGGACAACAGCAACATTTGTACTTATACAGCCCCCTTCACACAGGGCAACGTAATGTTGTGATGTACCAAAGTGCTTGTCACGAATGGCTTAGCGCCCGATCTGAGGGTGGGAATCTAGGAGGTATGGGGAGGAGAAGGCGCAGACAAAGAGTTAAGTCTTGAGACAGACCTTGAATGAGCTGTGGGAGGGAGAGAACTTAACTTTAAGTAACAATGGTGATAGGAAAAACTTCTCTACAGATTGCACCTCCATTTACATGTCAGCCCGGCTCAGCTGGTAGCAAACTCTCCTCTGGCTCAAGAGTCCAAATCGCTGGTTGGTCAAGGACTTTGAGCTCATGCTCTCGGCTTTGATTCCAGTGCAGTAATTGGGGGAGGAGGGCTGCATTGAAGTCCTTCAAATAAGACATTAAACTGAGGCCTTTACTTATCTGATTGATCAAATAGAACTGTCTCAGCAAGATGCTGGTCATCTGCACACTTGAGCAACGCGTGACCAAAGCAGAAGTAAATTTTATCCGACTGTTTCAATTCTCTCTTGCTCGCTCTCAAGTCACTTTTTGAAAGAGTCTCAAAACCTCATGGTTGCATTTTGCCTGCAAGTCGCTACACTTTTGCTGAAATCCTCCTCGATCTGAAACTTGACATGACTTGGGTTTTCCTTAGATGTGGTGATTGAACTGCAGAGATGGATTTCCTGTCACTAGTGAGTGCAGCAAGTTATCACCGTTTTCGTACCTGCAGGAAGCGCAGGCGACAAAACACCTGACAGGGCCACTTTTGTGATGCGGGTGACACATCGGCCGATGCTGTTTTTAGACCAGGGGTGAGGGTGGGGTTGGGTGGGGGCAGAGGGAAGGGAGGGAGTTATTCCTGAAGATTTCTTCCTTTCTGAAATCTGCTCCTCGCCCATCCAATGTGTTAAATATCACAAGGGCCTCAAATATGTCCCGCTTATTTTCTCCCAATCGATGAAATTCACTTGCCATTGCTCTCGCAGTGCATTCTGTGCTTCCCAAATCAAACTTATAGCTTATAAATAAGGTCACCCATCAGAGATCAACTCTTTTGACAAGAACCACCCCCCACCCACACACACACACACACACACACACCGTCTTAAAATGATCTGCTCCGGATAAAGCTACAATACAAACAGCAATACCTTTCCATATCTCTTATTCTCATGCATGTACTTGATGGCATCCTGCAGGTCAGCAACTTGAAGCTGAAAGGGAAGAAAAAAAAATGTTTAGTCCTTCTGACGGTGTTACAATAGTGAAGTGGAAATATAATTGACAGAAGCCTGATCTAGAAATCTGCAGAATTTATATATATTTATTATGTAGAAATTTAGATCCATGATATGTATATTTTGTGTTTTTATATATAAAATATATATTTATATAAACACAAAATGAAATTGAATTACCAGCAAACGTTTAAAAGATTTCAAGTCATTGCCTCAAATATCACAATATTAATTTAATTCACCCGATTAAGCAGCGTTAGTTTTGTTATATTTTTGCCTAATGAACCGCAGTGAGCAAAGCTCAAACACCGTGAAGCTCTACAACTGTATGACCCTAAGTGAATGTTATTCCTGTTTGACCAAAAGGTTCATTGACAGGGACCATGGATTTAGTTCTGGTAAAATTACTCACATCATCGTTGGGAAATGCAAGCAGTCCATCAGCTCCATGATCAGCGAAATAAACAAACACATGATCCTTGGGTCCACTGCCAAAATAAAACTTCTGAGTCATACAATGGCAAGCCCGAACAATTTAAACCTTGACATCCTGAACATCAGCTGATTTAATATTAACAACCAGGTTCAAAAGTGTAGCAGACTTCCCTTTTAGATTGGAAAAAAGGAAGGATAATTTTTTCTGGAGTCTAAAGATGGCAGAGCTTATAAATAGAGTCAATTGTACCGTCCCGTTTAATATCTATCTCCCCAATTGTGAGCAGGCAACTATCTTACATCGTTGGCCCCATTTCACTGAGACATTATCAAGTCAGTCCACGTCATTAAACTTTTTAATTTTAACACCGTTTAAGTTGTTACGGTTTTCACCTTTTAAGTACTTTTCCAGTTCCAATGCCCCGTACGGCTTTTGCATCTCCCTTGAGAACAGCTAAGAAATTCTGTGGGGTGACGTTCTTTGAATATAAAAAAAATAAAAGATTGTAAGACCGTAAGCTAATTCAGGCATAAAGCACCATTAAACATACCATTTTTTTTTTTAAATTCTAAAATATAGGGGAATAAGTAGCTCTACAGTGACTTAAGAGAGTTCTCCTCGACATACCCTAGGTGAGTTGTCCATTTCCTCGAGTGCAGAGAACGACAGGATGATCCCAAATGTTACGGGAATAAGCTATAAGGAACAATTAGATGCGCAAGGGCTCTTCTGCCTTGAAAAGAGACGTTTCTTGAAGGGACTTTATGGCGTTATACTAGATGGTAATGGGATTTATCATATAAACCTTGAATACTCCTGTCAGGTACACCAAGGGATGAGGAAAATGGGTCAGAGGTTAAAAGATCTGCCGGGCAACTTCAGGAGACACTAGATCGTTATCAGGAAGAGCAATTTGAACCCAAGATGTTGCATTCACTTAAGCTTGGATGCAGTAAAGGGATGGTTGTGGGTCGATTTTCTGAAATGTTTGGATCAAATGGGATCAAAGACCTTCATCTTCCAAACTTATCTTGTGATCAGTGTGGGAATGATGTGGCCCGCAGAGGGACACAAGAGTGACACAGAACACGAGGTCCGGGGAAGCAAGTGGGGAAAAGAAAGAAAAAACAGGGGTCGGTGAGGAGTGAGCACACACTTCCAAACAGATGGCTCAAGTCATCAACAAATGGCTGGGAAAAAAGATTTGAATCAAACATTATTCTTGAACATCTACATCTAAGTTGTTGTTGTTGATACAAACACGCTATAGAATCAGCAGCTTCTAAATTCCTCACTGCTATTGTGCAATTCAAGGTCAATTCTTGACTGATCTTTCGCTGACTAACCTTATTTGCCTCTTTTCTTTTAACTTGGTAAAACCGTTAGGTTGCCTAAGAAAACAGCCACCGCACTCGATCGCACTGAAGATAAAGCCCTGAGATGGTGACATAATACGCTGCTGCAAAAATACAAATTCTTTCTGTCTGAAACAGACGACACATAGAGAGTTCTAACGTATTTGTTCACTGTGGCCAATCATTTTCTGTATCAAAAACAACAACTTGCAATTATATAGCGCTCTCTACGCAGGGTGGCGTCTCAGAGAGTTTTATCTTGCTGCGACCCGACAAGATGAATGTATCGAGGGCATGAGTTAACTTTCTACACAGAATGAAATGTGTCTCCATGGTACAATGTGAGGTTTACCGCTCCTGTATAATCCTTGATAACGCCTGCGTACACATCCGATCCATTGGGCTTGTTAATAATAATGCCCTTCGTGGGATTCCTAGCAAACGAGACAAATTGATATACAAGCTGATTAATGACTACAAGCTGATTAATGACTATCCTCACCCTTGTCTTCAAATCCCTCCACTCCTCTGCACCCCTCGACCTCTCTGACCTCCTCTCTCCTCAAAACAGTGCCTGTTGCCTTCGTTCCTCCGGGTCTGGCCTCCTCCTCGTCCCCTGAGTCCTCCGCTCCACCCTCGGTGGCCGTGCCTTCAGCCACTATGCCCTGAGGCTCTGGAACTCCATTCCTCACTCCCTTTTCCTCGCCCCCTCTCGTCCTATTTTCAGGTCTCGGCTGAAGACCTTTTTTCCCAACCGCGCCTTTGATCACCTCCCTCCCCCTCCCCCCGGCTCGGCCCCAGGATCCGTTATTGTGAAGCGCTCTGAGATGCCCTCCGGCGTGGAGAGCGCTATATAAATCCAAGTTGTTGTTGTTGTATTTTTATATCCAATGTTTAAAAAAAAATAATCCTTGCATTTTATATAGCGCCTGATCATGTTCAAATGCAAGGATTATTATTATTATTATTAGGGGAAAAATAGAGGGCAACACCTGGTTCCTTTCAACATCAAATGCCTTCAACCTTTCTGCCCCCACCCTATGCAACTCAATCCCACAGTCCCTTCACCTCACTCCCTCCCTTGCCTCCTTTAAGGCACATCTCAAAACCTTCCTCTTCAACTGAGCCTTCAGCCAACCTCCTAACCTCCCTGCCCTCCACCTCCCTGATCCCGACCCCAGCTTGGGTCCAAATCGCTGACTGTCCAGCACCTTGGGATATCCTCCCAACGTGAAAGGCGCTGAACACATGTAATTTGTGTTGTATTGTATCTCCTGCTGGATGTCCATACAGACATTTGGCCCAGAAAATACATAGTCAATCCACTTTACAACGTATCTGTTGTTTTCTTTTCCAAAACGACCATATGATCGATCATTATACTTACTCCTCATTAAAGGCCAGGTCGTCATACATCATGAGGATGATCTGTTCGTCTGGAATGCCATTGTCATGCACGATCTGGTAGGCATGGCAAGCATCTGCCTGTTGGGAAAGCAAACCTTCGGTGTGAGACCCAACAGCCGCATGTTCAGGATCAATACAATAGCAGTAACGACTTGAGAAGAGCAAAGGCTGGAGCCACGGACAGATATCTGGGGAGGATGAAGGTAGGACATAGGACTAGAAAATAAAACGCACTTAAAAAATAATAATAATTTGATCATTCAATTCCACAACCTGTTATGGGACGCTGCTGTGCGCAACTGTCTGCCGTGTTTCACCCACAAAATATACAGTCAATTCACTTTACAGTATATACTGTGAAGCTCTTTGAGACGTCTCAAAGATGTAATAAAGCACTATATCAAATGTAAGGATTATTATTATCAAATGTAAGGATTATTATTATAAAACAAGTAAAACGAGAATCAAAAGAGGGAAATATAACATGAATGTGTAGGTGATGGAAACAGACAAGCCTCTGTTGATATTCTCAAGTGCTCCATAATTAGAGGAGTTGTGCTTGAAGACTGCAGGGTGTGTTATCCTGAAATTCAACAAAGGAAAAAGACGTGAGCTAGGATATTGCAGATGAAGTAACCCAACATCTGTAGTGGGGGGGAAAAGCAATGGAGAACATCAGACTGGATCCTATCAGTGCTCACGTCCATAGCAGCAGACAGTGACAATTGAGGAGCCAGGATGGAATTAGAAGCAATGAAGTCACGTCAAGTCACTTAACTCTAACCTATTCCATACCTGATGCCTGTAGTTGTACCAGCCACTGGATCCGGCAACGATGACTACCCAGTGTTTGCCTCCATCCTCAGGTTCATCCAGGGGATATGAGCTGGCTTTAGCCAGGAGGTGGACTAGCACTGACAGTACTATTGTCCAGTATTTCATTCTGATTCGGTTCAATCAACTGAGAAAAAAATGAATATAAGTCAATTATATTTCAGACCTTTGTACACCCAATATATTTCGAATTTCATTTAATTACACTTGTATTTTTTAGAAGATCCGAATTCAAGGATGTCATCTTTTGTAATAGTTTTGGGAATCTCCACTGTCTGACAGAGATTTTCGTTTTCTACTGATGGCTTCACAACAACACTTTTGGTTTACGAGGGGAGTCTTATTCCCTGACTCACTGATCACTGGGAATTAGACCATAAGACCATAAGGCGTAGGAGCAGGAGTAGGCCATTCAGCCCCTCGAGCCTGTCCCGCCATTCAATAAGATCATGGCTGATCTTCTAACCTGATTCCATTTACCCGCCCTATCCCCATATCCCTTAATCCCTCTATCCTTTAGAAATCTATCAACCTCAGTCTTGAATATGTTCAAGGACTGAGTATCTACATTCACTACCCTCTGAGTGAAGAAATGTTTCCTCAACTCAGTTCGAAAAGGCTGACCCTTAATCTTGAGACTATAAAGCAAAATAAAACAATCCTTGCATTTCTTATTGCAACTTTCACGTTGGGAAGATGTCTCGAAACTCTTCACAGGACAAACAGTGCAATGCACAATGACAAAGTACTTCTCAAAGTGAAATAACACCCATCAATATTGCCGGCGAGATGTCCTGTATATTCTATGAAGGTGAAAGTTTAAAGCAAGAGTGTTCTTTACAGACAAAATCTAACTCTTTGTCGGTTGTTCTCTCAAAAATCTCAATACTTTTCAAGGAAGCTGTTTTCAGATGCGTGACCCATGAACCTAGCGAGAGATGTTTCTTTCGAATTCGGAAATAAATCTTATATCTAGCGAAAAGAAACTCAACTGCACAAAACGTTGTTTGGTAGAACGTGTCAGTTTTGAGGAAGTTGAAGTCCCAGGAGATTCGTTCATCTCTTTATATTACTTTGAAATCACCCAAAGCAGACTTCACAAAAGGTTGGGATGAAGAAGGCTCTTTGGCGTATTTGATCTCATCCTTTCTGAATATTCCCCCCTACCACCCACCCCACCACCATAATAATAATCCTTGTATTTGATACAGCCACTTATCACGTCTTCGAGACGTCTCAAAGCGCTTCACAGGATACATTATAAAGTTAAGTGACGAAACGTGGGGGAAATGCACACGCAAGGATGATTTTTTTAATTAAGAGCTCCATTATTAAGCAGTAAAAGGAGGAAAACGAAAACACAGAGAAAAAGAATAATGAAACTAAAGAGTGTAAAAGAAGCTTTTCTAAATACAGGAAGTGAACTCCCTTCCAACAACCTTCCTGCTAACTTGTACCAGTCAATAACCTCGTGACAAGGAAATACGTCCTGGTATGTGTCACAAGGACACTCTTCAAGACCCTGAACCTTTGCCCCTCTTGTTCTGTTGCCTTGACGCATCTGAAGCTATTGTTCCGGGTTTAATCCTGTTTAAAACTCCCGTGACCTGAATTGTGTGTAGTAGCTGCAAATCACAGTGCATAAACATGAACTGAACGTAACTGTGTTGGCACTGACGGGCAACCGGTTTGTCTTGTTTACTGCCGCCCTTTGATGTGTTCTATCCCATCCATCCACCTTCTATGTTTTACTTCCTGGACGCAGGACTTTACATTTGTCTGCCATGAAAGTAATTTGCCAGTTATACCCTATAAAGCTCCATTGCCTCCTCTGATCTCACAGTTGCCCACCAACTTCTTGTCACCTGTAAATTTAACCACCTAAGTTTGTCTCAACATCCTGGAGACAAACATGCAAAGCGTTCACAAGATTGCAGGACCCTTTCTGTGCAAATTGTGCTCCTTACGTCAATTTTCAGTGACGCTCCAACAAATGGACACAATAAGCACTGATTAGTGAGTGGTTTAGTCTAAATATGCCACTGAGGGTCATTTTAATATAATGAGAATAATTATAAAGGTTGTTAGTCGATTGGCAGATTGCTTTCCGGGGATAATAATCCTTTTAAAAAGAAGTGGTCACTCAATCCACGATGGTTTGGGATATCGCTGTGTGCAATTGGGTGCCGCGTTTCATCGACTTCACTTTATAATGTATCTTGTGAAGCGCTTTCAGACGTCTCGAAGATGTTATAAGACGCTCTATCAAACGCAAGGATTATTATTATTTTACTTCTTCCCCAGGATTGTTCTAAAGTCCCAAATTACTAGGTTTTTTGGTATTACTGTACCAGACACCTTTTAACCAGTTTGTATTAATTACTTATGCAATATAAATCTCCAGGAATGTTCACTAACAATTCTTCTCTTAATAATATTCATAATAACAATCCTTGCATTTGATACAGCGCCTTATCACGTCTTCGAGATGTCTCACAGCGCTTCACAGGATACACTGTAAAGTGTAGTGACTGTGTATTTTTTATGGGAGAAATGTGGCAGCCAATTGCGCACAGCAGTGTCCCACAAAGAGTCGTGGATTGAGCGACCAGATCACTTTTTTTGAAGGAATTATTCCCCCCGGAAAGTGATCCACCAATCGATTAACAAGAGGGATACTCACACAGTGTGGATTTCCTGACCCTTGACACTTACTGAAAGTGTTAGCTTGTGTAACGGCATTACGAGTCCTGTAGCTCAGTGGGTAGAGCAATCGCCTTGCAAGTGAGAGACTTGGGTTCGATTCCCGGCAGGACGAAACCTTGGGCAAGTTTCCTTATTCCACACGCCTGATAATAATCCCTCAACAAAAAAAAATTTATAATTTGGTCACTTCAATACACGACTGTTTGTGGGACGCTGCTGTGCGCAATTGGCTGCCGCATTTCGCCCACAAAATATACAGTCAATTCACTTTACAGCATATTCTGTGAAGCGCTTTGAAACGTCTCGAAGATGTGAAAAGCGCTATATCAAATGCGAGGGTTATTATTATTATTATTATTATTATTACGTGGCAGTTTCTTAAGGAGAAACAAATTACTGTGTACATCTTCTGAAAACAAGAAAAAGGTCCGGGCATTGCAAAATAAGGACCACAAGAATCCAGCCTTCGTCTTGTTTTGAGAAGATGTGTACAGTAATGTGCTCCAATTACCCAAATACCTTGGAATTTGTAACTTTTTGAAACCACGTGCAATGTTGCTTTGTGAAAAAATAACAAACACAATAACAATATTATTCTAGAAATAAGAATAGCGTTGTTCTGTCGCTGAATTACAACAATTTCACCCACATTAGTCTGATCCGAAGTGAACATTGTCCTACTCTGGCTCAATTTCTCCTCTTAGAACACATTAGCTGACTCTGACATATCTTTGTTAACTTGCAACATCCCTGGAAATGACACCACTACTTGTATTTGTCGATGGATGATGTGAAACTATTGAGCTTCACTTCCGACCCCATAAGTGAATGTAGCCATTTGGGGCAACCTGTGAAAGTTGGTCATTTCATTAACTTTTACTGAAATATCCCTTTTACTACAGATTACAGACACACGGCACTCAGTGTTGCACGACTCTGCATTGCTGCTTGTGGGACATTGTTTGCATGAAAATTGACTGGAGTGTTCGCTGACGCTATCACAGTCACTACACTTTGCAGTATACAGGTGAAGCACTTTAAGACATCCTTCCAGCATGAAAGGTACAATATTAGTGCAAGCAGCATAAGATTCAAATATTCCATGGAGTCAGCAATTGTATCATTATTTGCATAACAGTAGTTTATAGATCTTTATGGTACGCAGATGGCAATTAGGTGCCTGTTGCAAAGTATTTTATAACTTAATAATTGTACAACTTAATGGAGTTAAATCAAAAAAATGCCCTAACTGTTACTTTGAAACCCACAGAAGTGTGAAGATGGTGATGAGTCAGACTTTTTTTTCACTGTATGGTATATGTTTCTGACACGTTTATGTGGGATTGGGGGAAACATGCTTGTTTGAACAAAACTTTTGGCATGTGAAATGTCACCATCTGCATTATGGAGGTATGTTTTTGTGGCAGAGGTCAGTATTCAAGTTCATTATTTGTGCAAACGAAACAAATCCGAGACTGAAAGAATCAAGAAAAACACAGACAGAAAAGAACATGAAACAAAGAACACAAAAAAATGAACACATTCCCCCCTCTCATAGCTTCAACCAACGCCAACACCAACGCTCATGTGTGTGTTTGTTTTTGAGGAGGGGATTCAATTTAAAACCATAAAGGTGGAGTCCTGTAGCTCAGTGGTTAGAGCACTCGCTTTGCAAGTCAGAGACCTGAATTCAATCCCCGGCAGGTCAGGGCCAAACCCTGGGCAAGTTTCCTTACTCCACACAGAGCCTAATAATAATCCCTCCAAAACCAATAATAAATTGGTCATTTTCAATGTATATTTGCTGTGCGCAATTGGCAGCCGCGTTCGCCCACAAATATACAGTCAATTCACGTTACAGTATATTCTGTGAAGCGCTTTGGGACGTCCTCCCGACGTGAAAAGCGCTATATCAAATGCAAGGATTATTATTATTATTATTATTATAAAATCTGATAACAATTGGGGGGAGAGGGCGAAAAATAGAATAAGGAACTGAGGTTTGGCCTCTGTGCCAGTAAATAACTGTGAGCAAAGAATTGTCAGGCAATCAGCGATGTTTTTAATGCTGTTATAATAATAATAATCATTGCATTTACAAACAAGCTCAACCTTGGTCTGAACAATAAACCAACGCTACAGCGAGTAGACAACAACACAACTTTACTGTACTTTGCGGTACAGTAATTAACCACTGGCATTTGGGTTCACACTGTCACAAACCTCTCTCCCTTTTTTTTAACCCCACTCTTACCTCTCAAGAACTTCTCAAGACTTTCCAATTCAATTGCACATCATCTGCCCTTCATCCTGGAAGAATGTACAACCAACCCTGAGCACCCTTGGCTCTAATTTATCATTGCCCCATCAAAGAAAACACAAAGACTGGTTTGGTTTTGAGAATGTTAATGTGGAGAAGGTGTTAATTAATCTGCAGATCTCAGTGTGAGGGTGTGAGTGAGTGGGTGAGTGGGTGAGTGGGGACCTGGGGCTGGGAGCCTTGGGTTGCTTACCTTGACCAGATGATTGCTGTGGTTCTTCTTATCAATCACGATCCTAACAGTGAGTAGGACTGTGAGCAGTCAGCAGTAAGTTAGTCAGCTCACTGTTAGCTTATTCCAGAGGAAGCAAGCCCTTGACTGACGTTGATACTCACCAATTGAAAGCTCTCTGCAAATCAGTACTCATCTCAGTGCTCTGGAAATGAAAGGATGGGCTTGTTTTCTTTATTTTACCCTCTGTTGCACAATCTTTCTTTACCATAATGCATAACACTGCACACACCCACTTACCGTGTCTTGGATAAAACGCTTGTCAGCATTTATTACAGCTGTAGTGTTTATCATAATAATAATCCTGGCATTTGATATAGCGCTTTTCACGTCGAGAGGACGTCCCAAAGCGCTTCACAGAACACACTGTATATTTGTGGGCGAACGCGGCAGCCAATTGCGCACAGAAATGTCCCACAAACAGTCGTAGATTGAAAATGACCAATTTATTATTGTTTTTGGAGGTATTATTATTAGGCTCTGTGTGGAGTGAGGAAACTTGCCCAAGGTTTCGCCCTCTGCCTGGAATTGAACTCAGGTCTCTCACTTGCAAAGCGAGTGCTCTAACCACTGAGCTACAGGACTCCACAGAGTTTTTGTAGGCGAGCGACGCAGACAATTTGCGCACAGCAACTCCCCCCACGGACAACCGTCAATTGAATGATTCGTTTGTATTTGGGAGAAACTCCCTTCTTTTTTCAAATAATAATAATAATCCTTGCATTTCATATAGAGCCTTATCACGAGACGTCTCAAAGCGCTTCACGGAACATACAGAACACAGAACACACTGTAAAGTGAATTGACTGTATATTTGTGGGAGAAACGCGGCAGCCAATTGCGCACAGCAGTGTCCCACAAACAGTCGTGGGTTGAGTGACCAATTTTTTTTAGTGTCATAGGATCTTTAACGTCCACCTGAGCAGCCCTAGACGAGGCCAGAGTTTAACCACTCATCCAAAGGACTGACAACGTAGCACGCACCAGAACTGCTCTGGAGCGTCACCTTAAGACTATATGAGTTCCAAGTCCCAAAGTGGGGCTTGAACCCACAGTCTTCAGACTCGGAGGTGAGAGATGCTACTGAGCCACGCTGACACGCAAAGTGGTCTATCCAGAATCTTCCCAGATGCAAACCAAACATTGAAAATAGATGCTGTTTTTTTTTTCCAATTATTTCTAGCTTCGAGAACGGTGGGGCATTGCTGTGCACAAATCGGGCGCCAACGGATGTGGTGTTATTTATTGACATGTTTCAATGTTTGTGGATAAGCAAGTACCACCATCACAGCCTGCCCACAATCCCATTCAGTCGCCTGCCTGACCCTATCAAATTGTAAACTTGGTAACAGATGTGGCAGCATAATAATAATAATAATAATTCTTGCAGTTGATTGTGCTCCTTCCACATCAGGGTTATGTCTCACAGGGCTTCACGGGAGTTACTGTACATCATAGAATTATACAGCACAGAAGGAGGCCATTCGGCCCATCGTGTCTGAGCCACAAGTGCAGAGACATTCAGTCAGATTCAAAGACATTAAATTAACTGACGAGTTATGGCCAAGGAAGCAAATTTGCCAACTCATGATTTGGAGCCTATCAAGACACTGGCTTCTGGTGTCTCTAGTTGGTACTGCAATACTCCCCAAACATATTAAATGTACTGAAGGGATATCCTAGTGTTTCCAGCAACAACAGAATTATATTTGTACAGGTTCCAGATTGTAAACCTATTTGGTTTCTGTAAACCTATTTTATGCAAAGAAATACGCATGAACTTTTAAGGCCTGGGATACTGTCTGCTTCACGGAGGGCTAATTTCGAAATGATGTGCAACAAATCTTTCTTCACCTGGTCAATCATCTGCATTTCGGTTTTAAGACGTTAAAATGATTTTCAATCTACAAGATACCCAGTCACTAAAATCCAGTAAAGCGTTTTGAGACAGTGCAAGTGAAGTTGCTGTCTTTTTCGGAAGTATAAATTGGTAAACTTGAACTTACAGATGTCCATGCAAGTAATTTTAATACAATTAACCGTTTTTTCGCTTGATCAATATCCAAACAAGCCAGTATTGTCAAAACATTAGCCATAAGTATATTGAGGCGCAGCTACATGTTGATTCTGTTAATTTTACTGCCGCAATTACGGCAATGTTTTGATTTTATTGCTGCCACCTGGTGGGATACAAAGACAAATGCAGAATTAAACAATATCTTGTGGCTTCCCAGCCAAAGTTATTAGCATCAAAATTATTTCACTAATCTGTATTGCCAGCCTCATTCGGTTGGTAGGTTTGTACATGAATAGGCAGGTGCAGGGAGGACAATACAACAACAACAGCAAAATTACATTAATAGAGAGTCTTTCACGTCGGGAGAACGTCCCAAGGCGCTGTAAGCAATAAGACCTTTGTACCAGTTGGAGTCTATCGGTCTGTCCACAAGTCACTTAGCAACGCGCTCTCTCCGCAGCAATGCAAATATCCAGGCCGTACCAAGCATGCTGTAGGTATACCTCGACAACAACGTTTGCAAACAAAACTGAAGAAAACTGCAAAGTTCCAATAAAGGTCATCGACCTGAAACGTTGACTCACTTTCGTCTCTCCATAGATGCTGCCTGACCTGCTGAGTGTTCCCAACGACTTCTGTTTTTACACTGTAAAGTAGATTGACTGTGGTTTTTGTGGAGGTGGCCGTGAGCACGGTCGAAGAGGAAAGTTTTCAGGCGGGACATGAAAGAGGGGAGAGAGGGGTTTGTTCATGAATAGGCAGGTGCAGGGAGGACAATACAACCTCCGATGGTGGCGCGGAGGGTGCGAGGGACGAGCAGGAGGCCGGTTAGTGCCAGTCGAGCGGAGACGCCGGCCGGCCGGGTGGTGGATTGGGGGAGTGAGGAGGTTTGGAGAGGGAGGGAGGGAGGGAGGGAGGGAGGTGCCAGGGAGTGAAGGGATTCAAACATGAGCGGTGAAGATCCTGAAGTCGATCCAGTAATAGTGTGCGCAGCGCTTTGAGGCGTCTCAAAGCCGTCAGCAGGCGCTATATTACTGTATCAAATGCAAGGAATATTATTACTTATTTTATTTATTTATGTATTTGTTTATTTATGTGCTTATTTAATTTGTTTATCTATTTATTTATGTATTTATTTTTATAAGATCTGCAAGTATTGATTGATTGACTGATTGATTGACTGATTGATTATAAGATCTCCAAGTGTTTGTTTGTTTGTTTCTTTATTATTTTTCTGCAAGTGTTTATTTAGTTGGTTTGTTTGTTTGTTTATTAATGATATATAAATATAAATATATATACATAATCTCCATGTGTTGTGATTGCTCTTTGGGGCTGAGATGGACGTTGAGCCAAGAGCCTCTCTGACGTCACCACGCAGACCAGCGTCCCCTTGACGCGCCCTCTCCCTCCCTCTCCCGCGCCATCACTCTCACGCATGCGCACTGTGTGTTTTCCCGCTCAGGCACCTGCACGGCCACCCCCCTCCCGCCCCCCCGCGCGCGGGGTCCTCTCGGCCGGGCATCCACGTCTCCAGCAAAGATGGAGGAGCAGCTGAGGCGGTGACACCGCGGGTCCGTCTCTCTCCGCCTCCCCCTCTCTCTCTCTCTCTCTCTCTGTCTCTGTCTCCGCGTCCCTCTGGTAAATAATCCTCTGGGTAAGTGCCTCGTCTGCCTCGGGCGGCGGACTAGAGGTGGCGGGAAGGAGGGAGGGAGGGGGGAAAATGGGGGCTATGAGGGTGTCCCGGGCCCAGGCCCAGGCCTCAACTGCTTGTTGTTTACATTGCGGGTCACTCACTCCCGTGGCCTCTGTGTGGTCAAACCGCCTCTCCCCCCCGGGGGGAGGGGGAGGGAGACTGACTGACACTCTCTGCAGTCACTGCACACACCCCCCCCCTCACTCCCCCCCCCCCCCTCCTGTGTGGTCAAACCGCCTCTCCCCCCGGGGGGGGGGAGGGAGACTGACTGACACTCTCTGCAGTCACTGCACACCCCCCCCCTCCCCCCCCCCCCCCCCCATCCCCTCCTGTGTGGTCAAACCGCCTCTCCCCCCCGGGGGGAGGGGGAGGGAGACTGACTGACACTCTCTGTAGTCACTGCACACCTCCCCCCTCACTCCCCCCCTCACCCCCTCCTTTTGCCGCAACACGACATGTTCATTTGTGTTCTGCAGTGATGGATTATTATGACTTATTTTTATTATTATTATAATTCTTCCATTTGATATAGAACCAGGAGAGGTTATGACCCCTTCTCTCCCCCCCACCCCACCCCCCCCCCCCCACCACCACCACCACCCATCCGCAAAAAAAAATTAATAATAATAATTTTGGTCACTGACTAAACCCACGACTGTTTGTGCGGCGACGCTGCTGTGGGTAATTGGCTGCCGTGTTTCGCCCACGAAACGTGCAGTCCGTTCGCTTCGCAGCACGTGCTTGTGAGACGTCTCAAGCAACGCGATAAGGCGCTGTCTCAAACGCGATGACTTATTATTTTTATAATGATATTCAGAAATTACATTTATAATAATACTTAGATTTCTGATATTCGCCCACAAATATACAGTCCATTCACTTTACAGTGTGTTCTGTGAAGCGCTTTGGGACGTCCTCCCGACGTGAAAAGCGCTATATCAAATGCAAGGATTATTATTATTATTATTATAATAGCATAATATTTCTCATGTTGTTGGGAGGTCTCAAGGTGCTTCGCTGTAAAGTGGATCTCCTGTGAATTTGGGCGGGTTTCAAATGAGTTTTGCCACGCGCTCCCCACCCCATCTCTTTTCCCCCATTGATCCTGAAAACCTCCCCCCAACCCCCTCAGCCTTTCCCACTGATTATTGTGGTGAAGAGGACGAGGGTGTCAGTGTTTGGAATTATCCGTAATAATCTGGACTCTGCGTTAACATTCCACAAAACATTTTGAAGATGGATGGAAAACGTCATTCTCTCAGGCAGAGATACGCAAAGTGACATTTCCTGCTCTTGATATCCCGGCCAACACTCCTCCAGTTAGAAGTCAGTCATTCCCTTCATGACATGGTTTGTAGGACATTGCTTTACACAAATTGACTACTGTGTTTTCCTATAAGTACACAGTCACTACACTCAGTGATTACTGTCAAGTGCTTTGAGATGTTTTAACTTATTTGCCTCATTTCTATGTTCTATGCAGAATTAACATTATGCTCCTTGCCCTCTTAGGAAAGGTTATGTTGTGATACTGCCTTTTGGCCCTAATACAAGGTTGAGAATGTCCTGGTTTACTGATCTTGCCGGGAAGGCAGAAGACTTCTTGAACAAAGTAGACCAGGGAGCAGCACTGTTGGTGAAGCCGACTGATGAAGTAACTGCTACCAAGACTTTTAATCTTGAAGCCAGTTCTTCCACGCAATATTCTGCACTGAATGAGCAGACTGTTGAGTCCGATCACCAAGCTCATGCCACTGTCAATTATGTCTCATCTGCTGCCAGTAATATCAAGAGACAGAAGACCACTCTGCTTGCTGGAACCGCTAATGCACCCAATACAGCACGGACCTTTGAAACCACGGCTGTTACTTCTGCGAACTCTTCTCTAAGCAGACCCTCAGCACAGTTTGTAAGACCAAAAAAGATTGAGCCAAATGACGACCAACTCTTTGACTTTCTAAATAGTTCAGAGAAGTCATTAAATGGAAGGGTGGAGAGCAAACGAGAGATCGCAAAACCCTCCACCCCACAAAGTCATTCTCGGACTTCCAGTCTCAGTTCAATATCTACCAGCACCATGAGTATCAAGACAACGGAGGAAAGCTCTGCCAGGGATGATCCTAATACTGGCCAAGGTAAGAAATTATTCACTAACATGCAATCATTATATCCATCATTACAAATACACACAATGTACTTGACAAGGAAGCAAATTCATGCAAGCAAACAGCCATAAAGTGAATAATCAGTTTTTATAATCCGTGGGATTGTTATCCAGGATACTAGGAAAACCTGTTTTCTGTTTGTGCCACGGGATCTGTGATGTCCATCTGAACAGGTAGATGGCACCCTGGTTTGTTGACTCATCCAGAAGCTGGCTCTTGTGACAATGCAGTGTCTCCCAGTGCTAGACTATGTCAAGTGTCAACCTAACCTTTCAGTTTACCCCAATTTTAAGATCTCTTATTTTGTTTGACATTATTTGAAAAGAGAAGAGGGTTTACAACAGTCCAGATTATTTGGATATTCAAGTCATGGCTGTTTCTTTCTGGTGCTGTTTCAGCACAAATGACTGCACTGTTTGCCTACAAAGTATTCACTGCATTTGACAGTTACCAAGAGAGACAATTCAACGGCAAAAATCACTATAGAAATGCAAGCTATTCTCAAGTCTTGATGTCTTTTTTTATGTACACAATTTAATTCAGTGTGTGGAAATGGATCAACGTATATAGTCTGCATGAAGAATTTAGACCTTTTAATTTAGATTTTTAAAAGGAAAAACAACTGTTGTTGAGCTTAAATTTTCAATTGACGTGCATAACATCCAATGTTGACAGGTGAAGCCTGATGCTGTAAAAGTAGTCTGTTAGAACTATAGTTAGATTAGGACAAGGAGCACTTAACAAAGGTCATCTGTGTGTAGAAATAATGATCGGAGATGAAACCTTTATTTATTTCTCCCCACCCTGACAAATGTTTGATATTAATTTTCACACAATAAACATGCTATTTAAACATGTTACTTTGCTCACCATACCTCTGCCCTTTTCCCTCCTCCTCTCACCCCCAAACTCTGTTAGACAGCGTATAAATTTACTGGGGCAAATGTACATTGTGCCTGACTTGGGTATGGTGCACAGATACATCAATTAATTAAATTAGTGGAGCAATCAATATTTTAATATCTACAGATATTGGTATTATCAAGAGCACAATTATGAATTTCTGTATGAAAATCACACATTTATTTTACCAGCAATTTTTTTAAAATTTAAGCCCTTGATTTTGTCTTTTTACCTTCAGATGTTTCAGATAGCTCTTACGTCAGTTTTGGAACACAAATGGAAGCTTCAAAAGAGGAACCACCAAATAATGCACCCAGCTCAGGTCTGTCCTCCAAAGATGAGAATCACTCCCCAGAACTGTCAAACCTTCGCCTTGAGAACCAGCTACTGCGGAACGAGGTCTCATCCTTAAATCAAGAAATGGCATCATTGATTCAGAGGTCGAAACAGACACAGGAAGGTAACAAAGAAACCAATGATTCCCATTTACCTCTTTCATCGTGCTTTCGGTCATCTTTTGTCCTCCCCGCACCCTTCGTCTCCCACCCCCAGTCCGGATGCCCAGCTAGCAGTGTTGAGTGCTTTGCAATATGAAAGGCACTGTGTGCATGTAAATTGTATTGTGTAATGATCCTTAGGTTGAGATGTTAAATTAAGTTTTTATCTACCTGTTCTAGTGTCTTGAACGGAAGTTAAGGATTCCATGGGAGTATTTCAAGCAAGAGCAAGGAGTTTAAGGTTAAATATTTAGAAACAATGTCTTTCCTCACAATCTTGCCTCGCCAAGATGGGTTTGGGTGGGGGTGGCATGAGTTCCAGTCTTGACTGTTTGTCTAAACACACATTGTTAAGCTTGTTTTACACAGTGTATTGATGTACTCATTTGCTCTTTCATTAGAACGCCTGAAATGACAGTTGTTAGACCAAATTATGTAATTTTTTTATGTTTGCTCTGATTATTTCTACTTATTTGCATTTCTAGATTTAAACAAATCGAGGAAGCAAATTGAGAGGTGGAACTCTGAGAACTCAAAGGCTGACAGGCTGAGCAGAGAGCTGCGTGCCCAGGTAGATGACCTGACTGAGGCACTGACTGCCAAGGATTCTCAGCTGGCTGTGCTCAAAGTGAGACTGGAAGAGGCTGATCAACTACTAAAATCTCGCACTGAAGCATTGGATACATTGCAAAGTGAAAAAAACAGGTTCAAATGAGCTTCCTAACATATCTACTATTTATCCAGAGCTAGTATGCAATTTGGCGTGCGAGCCTATTCGTCGGATACTGTCCCAACTCGATTTGAGTTTCACCAGCAATCCCTGAAGACGTTTGGTTCATTCAAAATGGTTCCCTGACATACAACACTTTTCAGCCCTAATTTGGGCGCTACTGTTATTCAGAAGTGTGTGTGAGGGGCTGAGTATGCCTGTACACCTTTTAACACTATTCCTTAAAAACTGAAAGCTGTTTTGAAGGTTGCTGACTGCTTTAAAATTAATGATATGAATTGCTACTGTTTCATTTACAATGTTGATTTTAATTAAAATGACACCTGAGATGACCTCAACTGTTACCTGAGAATGAGAAGTGCAAAGACCTTGCCCGAGCCCCCCACCCAATCTGTGTTGCAATATTACATTTGCTGTGTGTGTCCAGAAACCTATGGGTGACATTGTCTTTATTTATTTTGTTGAAAAGAATACTACAGGATCACACCGATGGGAGTAACATAAACAATCAAGCTTTCCAGACAGTCCAAGAACGCCTGCTGGAAACTGAATCAGTGCTCAAGCGAGAACAGGAGAGTTACAAACAAATGCAGGTTTGTTTTCTTTTTATGTAAAAGATAAAGAAGGAGAGTTTGAAAAGAGTGCAGAGCATGTGAGCATCATAAATGGTTGATTTCATTCGCCAGTTAGCAAGATCCTGTTTACTTCAGGAAATTAATTTGGTCTGACTTGCTATTTACACTGTGATTGAAGTATCGCGTGCATTGATTGCTTCTGATCTCAAGTCTTGTTGCCCGCAGTGTGCTACACTTTGATGCAGGATCCTTTTTGGATTTGCACAAGCCTTTTGACATCCTCCTTGTTTGAATCGCATTCTCCTACTGTGTCTTACATTTCTACGGTTCTGTGTATGATTGGGTTACATACCTTTAAGAGCTGAAACCAAAGCTCTTCCTCTGCAAAATTTCAACTTAAAAAGGGGTAGAGGAATTAACATTTGTTTTAAATAGAAAAGTATTGCCCATTCTGTCACATCCATCTATACAGTTCATCCTGATCAATAGTACATTCACAAGAAGGAGCTAAATCATTGAGGAGAGAAAGAGCGGGGCTTTTATTCTGTAATTCTGGAATTCCATCCCAGGGTCCCTTCGCCTCGCTTCCTCCCTTGCCTCCTTCAAAGCCGGTCTCAAGACACTTCTCTTCGATTGTGCCTTTGGTCGCCCGCCCACCTCTCTGCCTTCCCTCATCCCTACCCCACCCCTCCCCCATGCTCGGGCACCAACACCTGATTGTTCAGCGCTTTGGGACGTCCTTCCTACGTGAAAGGCGCTCTACAAATGTCATTTTGTTGTTGTTGTAACTAAATATTTAATTTATTTATAATGATGCCACTCAATGGCTTTATCTTGTGTTTAATGGGAAAGGATCTTTTTTATTGAAATGGCTTTAAAAATGTTTATTTTTTAAAAAAAAGGCAATGTTTTATTTTCCTTTATCAGCAATAGGTTCATTGTAGGGATTTATCTATTATTTAACGGTATTCCTAAATGTTGTCAGGAATTTCTTCTGCAAGTTTGCACGGCAAGAAGGTCATTTTAAAATTTTGTGAAAATATTGTCGGGTTTACAAACAGATGATATAAAATGTCTCTATTGTCCCTTCGTTTCAGAATGAATTTGCAGGTAGACTCAGTAAAGTAGAGGCAGAGCGGCAGAGCCTCGCTGAAGCATTGACTGTGGCTGAGAGAAAGGCTATTGAGGAAAAAAGAAGAGCAGATGATCAGCAACACCAGCTCAAAGGTGTTAAAAATAGCTTGGACTCCGTTAAACAGGAGCTGGTAGATTACAAGCAAAAAGCTTCCAGGATCCTACAGGTGAGGACAGAGTTATGGTGGAGTGCAAGAAACTTCTTGTTGTGTAACATCAGCAGTAAAGGCTTGCTTCGTTAAATGAAAATCAGCTGAAAATCACATTCTTAAAATGGAGTTTAATTCAGGATTCATGTGATCAAATTTGAGAGTACAGTATGCAGCACTTTGGGACGTCCTCCTGACACGAAAGGTACTATACAAATGTAATTAGAATACATTAGAATATTCAGCACAGAAACAGGTCATTTGGCCTATCTGGTCTTTGCAGTTGTTTATGCTCCAATGAGCCTCCTCCTGCCCTTCCTCAACTAAGCCTTCAAGCATAACCGTCTAATTTGTTGTGACTGAGCAGTTTTAAACTCATGCACATTTTCCCCTACAGTATATGAATTGTGCCACTAGGTGGCAAAAATGTTTCATAAACCAGTGAGCAGATTGCGAGTGCGTCTACCAAACTTGGTTTATATCCCAATGATCTTATGTCCTAAGTGTTCTGTGTATTTGGGGGGGGTTTGTCACCACAGTGTTTATTAGCTCAGTTTAAGTCCTGCTCCTAGATGCAAAATAAGCACATTGTTATTGATCCACTTTTTAGTAGACAATTTGTAAATTGCTCTTTTCAAAGTGTTTTCATTTTTAAAAATGTCAACATAGTCGTTCCATTGAGGAATTGAGAGCATTGCTAATACAATGATCACAAAGTGGATTTATAATTAGCTCAGTCTTACTAAACATTCTTATTTTACTGTCCACTTTACAGACTCCGTTGCAACCGTGACATTTCTGACTTTGAGTTCAAAAGATGTGTCTGATGATTTCTTTTCTTCAGTCGAAGGAGAAGCTGATTAACAGCCTGAAGGAGGGTTCAGGGATTGAGGGGCTGGAGAACCATGCCATCAGCACCATGGAGATGGAGGAGCTGAGGCATGAACGAGACCTACAGAGAGAAGAGATCCAGAAACTGCTCGGTCACATCCAGCAGCTGAGGACAGAGCTGCAGGTGAACACTTAAACCCTCAGCAAATCAAAATGCCACAAAAAAAATAATAATAATTTGGTCACTCAATCCACGACTGTTTGTGGGACACTGCTGTGTGCAATTGGCTGCCGCGTTTCGCCCACAAATATACAGTCAATTTGCTTCACAGTATATCCTGTGAAGCGTTTTGAGACGTCTGGAAGACATGATAGGGCGCTATGTCAAATGCAAGGATTATTATTATTATTCATCTGTTCCAGTCATTGAGTAAAATTGTTTGCCAGTTGTGTAGAACAAAACCTAATTTAGAGATCAGTGAAGAGACAAAGGATATGTTAATGACCCATATTTGGCGTGACCTGACACTAAATCCTATATAGATCCTGTTAAGCCGTATACCTATCTTATTTGGTGTGTATGTTTTGTAAGTCAAACAGAGAGCAATAGTCATAAACCCACTGTGTAGTTTACTGAGGGAGGTGTTGTTTCTTTCCCTCCTATCCTATAGGGCCTATTTGAGCCACCTCACCACTTCTGACGAATGGAAAATGCTTTTAAGGGCTGATTTTGCTTGCTGCGGATTTCTAGCATGTACAATTTTGGTTGTTTTTAAAATGTCCTCAAATGAGATAATTCTGTACATGGTTTCTTCCATTGGATGGCACTATAACAATATTTCATAGGGTCTTATCAATTTGAAACATTCAAAGTTCAAAGCACTTCACAAGTTAAGTGGTAGCGTCTGTTTTAGTTGATACCAAGATACCATCAACAGCCATAGGGTGAATGATCAGTTAATCTGGATGATCATTGACCATTGATCCTTTTTTAATCATGTCATAGGATCTTCAACATCCGCCTAAACTGGCAGAGTGGACCCACCTTAGTTTAACATCTCATTGTAATCTGCCAGTGTGTTCTGCACAGCTCAATTTAATACCATGAATGTATTGTCATCCAGAGGTTTGTTATAGCGTAACTCAGTGGCAAGATTTGGCTACTGCAACAACTACAAGCAGCAAGTAGATTTTCATTGGGTGAAAAGGATGAGGTTTCTTTCGAAAGAACCATAAGAAAATCAGTATTTTAAATCTAGCGCTGGAGAGAGAGAAAAGGGTGAATGGTTCAGATTGCCACAAGGGATTTCAGCTTCACTTGCAAATCTCTGAGCTAACAGCTTCAAAATTAAAAACACTGGCTTTCAGTGAACACCAGTGTTGGGCTAGTAACCCATAAAAAAATCCTAATTTATTCCTGTAAGATTGTTTTAAAACTATCACAGCAAATTGTCAGTTATATGTAAGAAATTCTGCGACAAAAACTTTGAAAGAATCTGGGACAGAATGGAGTTAAGTTTGTGAGGATTTCTGTGATGGATTCCAACCAGTTGTAACCCATCCTTGGATCTCATTCCCAATTACAAAAAAAAATGGAAGTACATGTATCTATCAACCGGTTTACTTTCAATTTAAAGTTTTTTCAGTGTGCAATTTACATTAAAAGAATATGTCCAGAATGGGGTGGGTGGATTGTGGTTCATTTGACCAATTCCTACCTGACCTGGGCTTTGTTTTAAACCCCAATAGTCCTCCCGCTGATCTGAAATGCAAATCAATTACCATTTCGAAATGTTAATTGAAAATGATGGACCCTTCTAATTCTACAGATGAAAGAAATTTTAAATGAATTTTCGATATAGGACTCTGGTAGCAGTAATGGTGGCATAATGGTTAGTAGGGTGTGTGGATGGTAGAGTCAAAATTGCCACAGTGACGGTTAACCCACACTACATCCACAACATTCCCTGCAACTGGTCCCAGTCCTAGACCTGGATGGTGGATAGCAGTTTAAGACTAGGAAAGAAGAGAGAGAATTTATTTTAAAAAGGAGCCTATCTCTTTTTTGAAAAAAAAAATCTTTTGCTCTGATTAAATACATTGAGGTTTTGCGCACTTTCAGCAGACTGCCCAGAATAAAGTAATTGTGATTATGCAATTTTTTTTCAAGGATTATGCACCAGTTTTGTTCTCCGATTGAGAAGTGACCTGTACAGAATTAATTTTGTGCTATGAATGCTGAAGTCCTTTACAATGCAACAAATTTATAGCCTGATTTTAAGCACTGAGTGCCGGCATTTTACCGTTGTGAATTAAGAACGGTCAGTGCACAAATTACCTTCCTTTTTATAAACTCAGATAGTCCATTAAACGATGATTGAAACTGTAGGTAGTGGCCCGAGCAGGTTATGTAGCAATGTGTTGAAGTGGTGGCTTTTTTTATCCCCAAAGAAAGACGCCCTTTCTTTGTATTGAAATCTGTGACAGGATACAGAGGCCCAACAAGTGGGAGAGGCTGAGGCATCCAGGGAACAAGTTCAAGAACTACAGGACCAGGTCAACGTACTAAATGGGGCCAAGAGGGAAGTGGAAACTGAGCTGGACCGACAGAAACAGGTAAGAGTACCCGCTTTCAGACCAAGGTAAACACTAGCATCCCGCGTAAGAGCTGGGCTTCATTCTGTTATCTGTTCTTTCAGGAGTTTCAATACACAGAAGAAGAACTTCACCGCACTAAGAACATGCTGCAGAGCAGAATAAAGGACAGAGAGGATGAAATTCAGAAGCTTAGGAACCAGGTACGCTCCGAATCTCTGTTCGAGGTTTTGCTCCGAGATAGTGGGTAAGAATTTGAGGGAATCATCCTCCATGTTGAATGTCATATAATGAACATCCCCGTGACTATGCCTTCTAGGGCCCCTTTGAGGGAAAATTATCTGAAACTATGAAGCATATAAGCAATGTTTCATGTTGATCTCAGACTTATATTTGTGTGTGTGTGTATATATATGTGTGTGTGTGTGTTTCATACACTTGTCTAGTTATTCACACATTTTTGGCTCTTTCAGCTAACAAATAAGGCATTGAGTAATAGCCATGTGGAACTGGAGAACCGACTGCATCAACTGACCGAGACGTTGATTCAGAAGCAGACAATGCTGGAGGCTCTGAGCACTGAGAAGAACTCGCTCGTCTTCCAGCTTGAGCGTTTCGAGCAGCAGCTTAAGAGTGTTCAGGGCAACACTATCAATGGCACTGCCATCAACGTATCTGCATTGGAGAGCAGTGAAGGTAAGCACGGCTTTCAGTAACTCAACCCACTTCGGGCTGGATATGAGCCTCTTCAAATTGGGGTCAAATATTATTTATAAGTGATGTACGTTTCTTCATTATCTTTAAATGCCTGAAATCTGCATTCATCCAAAAGGCTTGTTTAAATTAAATTGGGTGGTTGTGTGAACTGTTTAGCATGCTGATGATGGAATGCTTGTGGTGTTCATTTTCCACATCATTTCATAAGCAAGGTAAAAATCAGAATTGGGCTCCCCAGACCCATCATTGTTATGTCATTTTTTTAATGTAAAAGCATAACTGTTATTGTTGATGTACTGAACAGCTATACCAAACACAACAACAATTATTGTTAAATAATGCCTAGGACATAGCCAGACAAGCCAACAATAAGTTTACTTTTTGATCGCGCTATTATTTGAATAGTACTTAATACATTTAATAAATGTATTTTTAATAATTTTTTTATTATTTAATAAACAGATGCACTATTTAGTATTGTGAGTCTTCATCTCAAAGATTTGGCCAGGTTTGATCCCAGATGATTATGGTGTTAATGTTTCATTAAATAATTCATTTATGTGTGTAAAATAAATAGTCTTTACAATGAACCTTGTGTGCTTGGACTAGGTGCTCGGATGAGGAATGTTCCAGATCTTTTCAATGAAGCGGATGGAGTTACAGCTGGAATGTACGGAAAAGTTCGCAAAGCAGCAAATACAATAGATCGATTCAGGTAAATATAGTTATAGGTGACCAAGGCTAAAGCTAAGTAGGCTGCTAAAATCTAGTGGTAACAATCCCACCTCACAAAGGTCTAGCTTGTTATTGATGGTATTTGTGCAAATTCTACCCTCCCCATCTCTTTATCTGGATACTGGACTCATTATTTTAAAAAAAACATGGTACTGTGGGAAGATGGTAGAATTGATTTGCTGGAAAAATGAGATCAAATTGGCCAAAAGGTCTTCTGAATTTGAACCCCTTTTTTTGTAGGTAAATTAGTTTTGTGTCCTACATTCGGTATTGTTTACAACAATTATTTAATGTGAATTTATTTTCTGACGTCACTAAAAAAAAATATGTTGTCTTTCACAGCATCCGTTTAGGAATCTTTCTGAGGCGTTATCCCATAGCAAGGATATTTGTAATTATTTACATGGTGAGTTTATTCTTTTGCTACGTCGAACTTGGGTCCAAAGTATCCTATCCTAGTTTGCTCGGATGTCCGAGATTTTAAGACTTTCATTTAAAGTGGGGAACGCCACAGTGTGCAGAGGAGTGGGGTAACAGTGCACGCTGTAAAGCGAAAGAACGTTTCACGCATAGGATTCCTCACAAGGCTGTGCTGTTGTGCTCAGGGGGAGCTGTATCCCAGGGGTGGAGCTCCTGCTAGCTAGCCCAAGAGTGGTGCAGACATTTGGGTGCAGGTTGCTTGCAAGAGTACGTGGATTCAGAATAAACCACAGTAACGTTCCATCTTTAAAACATTTCATTCACATGAAACAAATAACATATTTAATTCGTCAACAGCTGTGGAAAGTTACAGAAGAAGATGATAGTTTTATTATTTTTCCCTCTGACTGAATCTTGCAGTTGGAGGGTAGACCCAGATAGTCAAAGCTGGTTTAGCTTGACTGATCTTTTTGTTTCTCCTCCATATACTGTACCTTGCCTTCACTCAGCACCTCACACAATGCAGAATGGTTTAGTTTTAAAAGGATTGTGATGAATTTGCAATTCTGCGACTGTCCTTGGGCTTTTTTAATGTTCGGGCTTTTGTTACAGCAGCAACTTTATTAAGTTATTAAAATGACACACGTCCTTTAACTGGTATAGGACTAATACAGTACAATATATAGATTATGCTTGCAGCCATAAAAAAGGTCTTGTGTTATTGACTCGGTTGCAATGCCAGCAAATCTATTCTCTAAATTGTTAAATGTAATTAGAGTAATGAGAGTACTCTATTCCCAAGTACTTTCAGAAACCCTGGCCTGCCTGCTGCACTTGTTATATTTTATTCGTATCCAAACATAACTTGTTCCTCAATTGTATACATTGGTTTCCATTGTTCAGTTTGTATTTCATCTTTTCCAGACTTAACAGCCTTTACATGCAAAAGCACTCTTAAGTGATGTGCTCAACTTTAGCACCCAAACAAAGAAATTGGCTGATTTACTGTATATTGAAAATACTTTTCCCCAAAATTCAAACCTGAAGCTTTGAATAAGATTCACCCCCAGCATTGCTACCTGTAACATAATCCCATTTAAGCGTTCTGGGACGCTACACTGCGTGAGGGGCGCTATATAAATGCAAGTTGTTGTTGTAATCTGTTTGGAATCTTATAATTCTGTTATTGGTATTCATGTTTCACATAATCATTTTATTTCAGGTGCTTCTACACCTTTGGGTCATGATAGTGCTTCTGACGTACACACCAGAGGTACATCACGGTTCCTTCCAACCAGGTGGCAAGTGAAAACAAAGACTGGATGCACCAGCGAAGGAACTGGATTTTTTAAAAATATATTTATGTAGCACATTCTACAGACCAATAAGTCCATACATACTATAAAACTGGCTTGCTGCTGGCTTTGATCAGGAGAATAATATTTCCAAATTAACACTCTGTGAGGGTTTAATTATTTTATTTTTGGCATTTTATTCTTTGCACTTTTTTTTCTTCTCTTAATTGGCCCCTGTACATACAAATTCAGCTGTGTAGGAACATTGCAGGACAGATATGACTTGTGCAATATCATTAAATAAACTTAAGGCAAATAACGTTGACATTTTGTTTTTAGATTGATGTTTTTTTTCCCCAGACTTTAATGAGGCTGTAACATACGACTTATCAGCTCATCCAGGCCCCATTTCTGACCAATTCTCAACTTTGTCCTCTCTCAAAACACTGTCAATCCATTGCTGATTCAGTGGTAAATACACTCCCCTTGCTGAATGCTTCCACTAAGGTCGTTTAGTGACTCTGCTTTTTAGATATATGCCAACAACGGGATGAAAATTGCCTTCCTTAATTTGAGTTTCAGCTCATCACTTTTTAAATGTTTTTTTCCTAACTTGTATTTGCCCAAGATACCTCCTCTGCATAAATATTCCTGGTTCCCATTGTTTTTAAATGCTTAGGATCGTGTTCCACTCACAGTCTTCTGTTTCCAATGATATTTGCTTAGCCACCCTTAAGATCTCAGCGACCTTTGTTGCTCTTTCTCAAGCGTATTTGTGGCCCAGGCTGGACCCAAGTCCAAATTAAGAGAGTTGCCTAAATGCTTTTGTACTCCAGATATACTCAAAACCGTGATTTGTGTTTGCTCCATTTTCTGAACGTGCTTTATTCTTTCCAAGATGGTGATTTAGACACGTGGAAACAGGAGGAGGCCATTCAGCCCCTCTAGCATGTTCCGCCATTCTATAAGATCATGGCTGATCTGGACCTCAACTCCAATTACCCCATCCCTTGATACCCTGACCTAACATATATCTATCCACCTCAGTCTTGAAAATGTAAAAAAAATCCTGTTTCGGATCCATTCCCAAAAAACATGACAATCTTCATGAGAGCATCTCTCATGTTACAGTAATTCATAAAATCAACATTGTAACTTGTGCATGTCTTCGCCCTGTTCGTATATTGTTGGGCTTTTTAAACGTTCAGTCAAAATAGTCCCCTTCCCAAATTGCAAGAAATATAAACAACAAATTATATTTGTATGGAGCCTTTCACGTCGGGAGGACGTCCCAAAGCACTGGACAGTCAGAGATTTGGACCCAAGCTGGAGGTTGGGATCAGGGGAGGTGGAGGCCAGGGAGGGTAGGGGAAGGAGGGTGACCGAAGGAGCCATCGAAGAGGAAGGTCTTGAGACAGCCCTTGAAGGAGGCAAGGGAGGGAGCGAGGCAAAGGAACTGTGGGATGGAGTTCCATAGGGTGGGGGCACGGAGACTGAAGGCCCGACCGCCGGTGATGGAGTGGGCTAGGGGAGAGACGTAAACGTAGAAATAAAGAACACCAGATATTACTCTTAATTACAAGTCAGTAATGCAACCTGCAAGATTAGGGGACTGAAATTCCAATTGTTTTTTGCCTTAAATCTATTGTTTTAAGATTTGAGATCATGCAGAAGGTTTGCAAATTCTTAAATATAACTTAATTTGGGAGACAGATCCCTCACGGTTCTTTAAAAGAAAGTCTGAAAACTGTTGAGATTGAATCCTTTTTAGGATTTGCCAAAACTCTGCTCAATCGGAAATTTTAAATTCGTGATATTGAGACTAAAAGTAAGCGACGGCAGGAGCCAGGTGTCTTTCGACAAACTTGGATTTGCACTTGGATTCTCACGTCTGTTGAACATTGCTTTGCAATTCACTGAGTGGTATCCAGTGTTGAACGCACGGGAGAATTACACCGCTAGTTCCAAGCAACACTTCACTTTAACACCTCAGCAACATGAATTAGCACCTTCAGGAAAGAGGAGAGGGGGGAGTGGGGCAGGGAAGGGAGAGTGCTAACAGAAAACTCTGGCTTCCTGTGTTGCAGTGCAAAAATAAATTGATACTGAATACCGTTCAGGAAATAACATTATGGGATATAGTACATAGGTAGTTCGGGACATGTGTGCATGCGGCCACCAGGAAGGCGAACTAGATGGTCTTCTTTTCGTCTAGTATTTCTTATGTTCAGTGAATTACAAGGCGGTAATCCAATTAAGATATTCAACGGCTCTCTGAATGCAAGAGCCCATCTTGAGTTTGTTGGGAACCTGCTTCCTGAAATTGAATTACTGATTTCTAATTTGGTTACATTTAGTTGCTGGTTTAATCTGTCAATTTTTTCCCCCCAAAATAAATCAATAATGGGTGTCATTGTATCCCATTTCCTAACTTATGATGTTCAACTTTGAAGTTAATAATTTTAAATCGTTGCTTAAAATGCTGTGTCCTACTTTCTGTGCGCATTTGAAATGTGAATTCATATTCTATAGTGCAGTTGCACAGTGGAGGCCAAAACCAGACAAACAATTATCCTGACAAGTAAACAGCTTTATGTAAAGTTGAAGCACTATCAGGAGGCAAAAGCAATCTGAAACTGAGAGAGTAAAGCATTCTCCACTCCAGCCTCTTCCCTATGGAGTATTGCTGAAAATCCCTTGTGTTCAGAGCATTAACACGCTATAATCAGCCCATGTAGAACTTGGCATTTTGACTAACGGGTGGGGCATAAAGATATGGATTTATTCGGTTATTAGGGCCAATGTGTAGCAAATGCAATTCCACATGGATGAGTAAAAATGAATTGAGATATAAAAAGAGAGAGCACATGCTGAATGGATAAGAATGTTAGACACCAGGAGGAGTAATGTGTATAGTTGAGTTATGAATATATAATAATACGAAAATATTACTACCCTTGAGAGATTAAGGTGAGTGATCAAGCTAATTCTGGTTGTAGTAAGAATGGTGGAGGTATTCTCTTACGGAAAGATGAAACTGTGGTGATCCAATTTTAAAGTTGACCCATCTTTAAAATCTTCAAGACATAAATTGATGCAAATAAAGTAGCCACTGTAGTGAGGGGCTAAAATACGGGAGCTCTAGGTTATTTTTATAGGAAGTTTTAAGTAAGAAGGGAAATTGGACAGAATTCTTTCCTGAAAGGGTAATCGATTTGTTGCACTGAGTTGCCACAGGTCAGTGAATCAAATATATTGTTAAGATACAAGAGGCAACTAGATGATTTCTGGAAAGAAAAGATTGATAGATGGTGAGAATATAAATAGTAGGGAAATTTAACTGGTGTGTTGAGCCAAATGCCATGGTCCTGTTCTAAAAGTTCTTATGCATTGCACCGCTCTCAAGTTGCCAGGAAAGGAAGATGCCAAATTGATGGCGGACATCTGGAAAATAATTCCAATAATTGTGAAGTAAATCTATGTTGATATAAAGCTGAAATAAAACAATCGAAATGTTGGAGCAGGGTATTAGCATCTGAAAGAAAAAGGTGATTTAACATTGCGATGATTAAAACTCAAAAGTTTTCAAACTTATTTCAGAAGCTGAACAACCTTGCTCTGCCTCTCTAGCTTTATTCTGTCATACCAGATTTCCAGCGTTTTCTGTTTCTTTTCCTCTCCAGTACAGTAGTTTTTCAACAATTTAGACGGATTACACATTGTCAGAACGTTTAATACCTTTTATTATGTCTTCCATAATGAATCCAATCCATGAACACTAAAGATAATTGTGAATTCAAGTCCTCTGTGCCTTTAAATATAGTTTTGTTGATCGATCTATAATTTGGCATCTACAGAAGACAAGTATAATTGTCCCATGGCTTGTAATAAAGGAATATGTTTTAAAAAAAATAATAATTTAAGTGTTTTTCTGAATGGCCGTCTTCACAAATTTCAATGCCTTTTCACTTTCTCCAGTTGGATCTGCTGGGTTTGATGACTTATTAGGCTTGGAAGAGGTTCATTTTAGATCTCGATGAGTTGATCCGTTTATAGTGAGAGCCAACTACGTCGGCTGAAGTTTGGAAATTCTTTCCTCCTTACTTGGTTGGAGCATTCCACCACTGCAATAGAATATGGTAGGGTTACATCATAATAATAACAATAATCCTTACATCTGATATAGCGTCGTATCACATCTTTGAGCCGTTTCAAAGTGTTTCACAGTATATCCTGTAATGTGAATTGACTATATTTTTGTGGGCGAAACGTGGATGTGGAAAGCACCTTCTCCCCCCCATGTTTCTTTTCATTGCTCATCTTTTTCATTTCATTCTCTTTTCAAGTCGTTATATAAAAAAATGTTATTTTTGTAGCACCTTATCGTATCTCAAAAGAGCTTCAGAGAAAAAACAGTCTGGTAAAGTGACTTTCTTCCAGGAAAACATGGCACAGGCCGCAATAAATATCTACTTAATCTAGAGGACGTCGGCCGCCAGCAGAAGCCCCATTCTCTTAGTTGAATACTGTCAAAATCTTTCAAGATCTCGGGTTACCACATAACCTGAAAGGTAGACAGCATCTCTGACCATGCAGTCTCCCCCCAACACCTGTACTGGAGAATCGCCCTCGACTGTGAGCTCAAACCATAAAGTAGTGCTTGAACACGCAACTCCCTGAGGTAAGAGTGCTAACAACTGAGCCAAGATGACCCGTGCACCACAACAGGCATTTTATATTACACTGATCGCTTGGGAGTACCATATATAGCTGCCGGAACGTTTTCTGGTTGTCCGTAATAAAACAGATAATTTCTAGAAGAATTAATATTGGGTTTTAATGCAGTGACTTTTATCGTTTTTAAAAACATTACGCTAAAGTTTACGTCAGTGTTTTTTTTGGGGGGGTTCTGCGCGTGAGAGATTATATTCCGTCTGGACTGGACTCGATAGGCCTGTTCCATGATCAAAGATAGAGATGTTATCTGTTGCTAGTTTCTTTCCCAGAACCGAGAAATTGAATTGGATGATGTCTCTGCACGCAGCTGGTAAAAGGATCTTGTGGTGTTGGACTGGGAATTTGTTTTTTTTAATGCAACTTGTTTCTGCTTGAAGGTTAAGTGTCACATATGGCCCCAAACGTTGTCAAGCAGACAGATGGTGACCCAGGAATGAACTCCCTGAATACTGCGAACGTACTGGAACATGAATAAGATAATCCAATTGCAGAGTCTGTTTTAACAGCGCCAGTTAAAGGTGCTGCTTACAGTATCATCTGTCTCAAACTCAATACTTGCTATTGTACTGAATCGTATTAAATGTGATG